CTTTTCTTTGAATCCTCATCTGGGCACTTAGAATGATACCTGGCACATTATATGCACTTAATAAATGCTTGTTGATCGACAGTGAAGTGAATAATCCGTTCTCTGAAGGTGGGTGGGCCTTTGAGGTCAAGTGATCACCCAGTCTAAGGGTTGTGGAATTTCCTTTTCATATGTATATTAAAAACTCCAAAAGTCTCTAGTACCAGAACTTCGGTCTGAACTAACTGCAGTGAACTACACCTTTATTGGAGGTGAGTGAGTGAATACGTGTGTGTGACTCGTGTGTGTGTGTGTGTGTGTGTGTGTGTGTGTGTGTGTGTGTGTGTGTCCCTGTCTGTCCCGTCCATCCCTGTGTGTCCACGTATCCGTCCATCCGTCCCTAGGATCAGTTACAGAAGGGAGGAGAAATGAAGTGCTCGAGGAGATAGAAAACTTTATGATATTTGGGTTGAGGAAGGCAAATGACTAGATACTAATTTAAGTGCTTTCCTGCTCTGCTGATCTGGTTGTTTCCAATGGTCTTCATTAGTTTTGCTAATATCAGAGGTAAGTAGTCAACTCAGATAATCAGAAATCCCATTCCCTGAATTTCTGAGCTGTGATCAGTTAAGCCCAAAATAACCAGCAAAGTAGATTAAACCATAGGGTTTACCCTAATAAAATAAGCTCATTTTTATAAAATTTATCCACTTGTTAAGTAGGTGCCTAATGTTGGGGAGTACTCTTTCTGCAGCTGAGTGATTCTTGGTGTGTCAGCCAGAGTTAATTACAGCTTGATTCTGTTGCTTAAAACGTTTGGATCTGTGATTTATTTAATACAAGCTTATCTTCCACCTTAATAGAATGCAGTTTCTACACAATCAGGGCAGAGGGGATAGAGGCATGCCATGAAAGATTCTTGTTACAGTGCTTGTAAGGAATGTCAAAGGCCATTTCGACTTGGTCGTAGAGTGTTTGAAGAGAAATAATGTATAATAAGGCTGGAAAAGTAGGTTGGAAGCAGACTGTGTATGTAGAGTATTTAAATGCCAAACAGGAGTTTGCATTTGATTCTAGAGGCACTGCCACTTATGTGAGTTAAGGCAGTGACATGGTGAGTCCTACATGACTGAATTTATGAACTTGAGTGATTAATGGGATGTTGGTGCTTCAAAAAAGGTGAAAGCTTAAGGAGAAATATTATGGTAAGGTAAAGGGAAGTAGGGACAGAACATTCAAGAGGGTGTAGTTTTAGACATCAGTTAGGTTTAATAATTAAAGACAGCATTTATATAGTGCTGTCTTTGCAAAGTGCTATATAAATATATATATTCTCATTTGATTCTCACAAGTGTCTTCTTCCCAATTTTGATGAGGAAACTAGCCTGAGAGAGGTTAAATTTGCTCATGGCCACTGAGCTAGTATCTGAAGTTAGGTTAACTCAGGTTTTCCTGAGGGTTCTATCCATCACACCTCTTAGATGCCTCAGTTTGTATTTTTGCGTTTGATGAGTGAGGAAAGATTAAGGTTGAGGACAATAGAATTTAGCAATCAAAGACATTTTTTAGAGTTGGACGGTGATGAGTAAGTTTGCTTCTATAGCGGGAGTTATGAGGAAGTAGAGAAAGTAAATAGCAGATTTCTTCTGGAAATTTGGCAGCAAATGCAATGACAGCTAAAAGCTTGAGAGGGTATGGGGGCAAAGTTAAATTGTTTTTTTTTTTAAGAATGAAAATTAAGGATTTAAGAATATAATTTAAGAATGGAAAAGACCTGGGGATATTACCTGAATCAGGGAAGCTGCTTGTAGAAAGGGAAAGATTAAAGAAAAGAATGAGACAGATGATTAGGACTTCGAAAAGACGAGAGGTTTATAAAACCATGGATATAAGTAGGTAGATGACTTCTCTTCCACTGAGACTATCTAAGGAAGAGAGACTTATCAGATGTGAATAAATAGAGGAAACGACAAAGTTCCAAGATGAAGCAGCATGAGTTCTGAGAGAAATCTGGAGACTTTGGAAATTTGAGTAAAGACAGTATTTGGAACAACTGCTTTGGGGAATTGGCATTTTTTAAAGGCATGGGGGTGGAGAAAGAGTCAGACCTAAATTTCATCAGTACAAGACAGAGGTTCATAATAACTTTTTAAAAATTATTATTGTGACCGGTTTGGCTGTCTGAAACCTATGAAATATTTTAAAATAAGTAGGATTAGAAAGCAAACCACTTACATTGAAATAGTTATAAAAATAATATTTTAAAATAACAACCAACTTCATAGACTCCAAGTTAAAATTATACCCTTGAGTTAGGAAATTCCTACCAATTAAGATAAGAAGGCCAACTTTTGAGCTACTGTTCCATATTTCCTTCCTGCCAGTCAATTAGGAAAGAAGGAAGAAATGCAGTAAAACAGTGGGAACTTAGTCAACAGAGTTGCATCACTATTTCCAGTGGTATTAATCAGGTGGAAGTTGGTACAGAGAAGCAGACAGGGCTTGTGACCTTAATAAGAAGCAGGAGATAGAGATTTAAGAGTACAATGTCTAGTTGAATTAGTCAATTGTAAGGACAAATCTTTGACTATATAGAAAAGTGAGACCTGACCAAAGATAATGTTATTATGTAAATAACAGTAATGGATATGACCATGAATTATTCAAGAGTGGTGAAACTGGAAGAGAATAGATCAATAGGATATTATGATCAGAAAAGAGAATTTCAGAATTCAAGGTCATTGAAACAATCCATATTCATGTAGGGGAGATGTTGAAATGACCATTTGTGGGTTTTGGAATTGAGTGGCCAGGGTATTTGAAAGGATAGAACACAGACTGAAATCGTAAAGCAGGAGGTAGGAAGTAGGGGTAGGTAGGGAGAATACTGAACTGAAATTGGACCGCTTTGAGAAAAGAGCCCATGACATCTTGAAGCTGGTTAGTTAGGATGGAACAATTAATAGAAGGATCCTTAAACAAGAAAGATAGAGTACTAAAAGAAGAGTGAGTGTATAGAAGGACAGGCTGCCCCTTCTGGCCTGTTATACTGGATGGGAGTAGTACCTAGGGTGGTGGTCAGAGATGTAGTAATATTGGGGAAGAACCAGGTTTTGGTGAGCTGGTAAGTAGGATAAAGTGTAACATGAAAACATCTAGAATGAATGGGAGTTAAATAATACTAGAGGTTGGGGTATAGAGGGGGGCACAGCATGGATAAGGATGTTCTCTCCAGAAGATGGTAACTAAATTACTGAGATTAAGAAGGCATCCTGAAAAGTCTTGTGGTAACTGAGCTCAAGTTCATTTGCAGGCTAGGAGCATTAGATTGTGTTGCTTATCACTTCAAACATGAGGGTTGTGGGCTACATTGCCAAAAATCTTGGGAAGATAGCAGGGTTGTTCATTTGTGTATCTTGGTAATTCAGACCTCTTCAGGGGCAGCTAGGTGGCACAGTGGCTAGAGTACTGGTGGAGTCAGGAGGACCTGACTACAAATCTAGCTTCTGACACTTACTAGCTGTGTGATGCTGGGCAAGTCTCTTAACTCCAATGCCTTCCCCCCAAAAAAAGAGACTATTGATTTTATAACCTAGGCTAATCAGAAGTCACTCTAAACTCTACAGCTCCTTAGCCACTTTTCAAGTAGGGGATGAGGCACATCCAAAATAAACACCCTATGTGGACTATATCCTAAGTCATGTGGCTTGAGATCTCTGATGCATTTACTCTGGGAGCCTATTATCGATGTGAATTCCATCTGGTCCAGCCCTTCTCTATTGCCTCAGAGGAACAGGGAACCTGGAGGAAGAACATATACCATTTGCTTGCTGAAAGTACAGGGGAATCATCAGCTCTAGGGACCATATGCCCAATCAGTACCTGGGGAATCTGGTCATACTTGTCAAACATCTCCAACCTCTTTTCTTTTATTAATTTATTTTGATTTATCAACAATCATTTCCATAAGCTTTTGAGTTTTAAATTTTTCTCCCTCTTCCCTCCCCAAAATGGCACATAATCTGATATAGGCTCTACATATACATTCCTATTAAACATATTTTCATATTAGTCATGTTGTAAGGAAGAATTTGAACCAATAGAAGGAACCACCAGAAAGAGGAAACAAAACAAAACAGAAGAAAAAAAAAGAGCAAATAGTATGCTTGGATATGCATTCAAACTCCATAGTTTTTTCTTTGGATGTGGATAGCATTTTCCATCATGAGACTTTTGGAGATGTCTTAAAGCCTTGCATTGCTGAAAAGAGCTAAGTCTATTAAAGTTAGTCCTCCCTTAATGTGGCTGTTACTGTGTACAATGTTCTCCCGGTTCTGCTCACTTCACTCAACATCAGACAATACAAGTCTTTCCAGGTTTTTCTGAAGTTAGACTGTTCATCATTTCTTATAGCACAATAGTATTCCATTACATTCATATAAACACAACTTGCTCAGCCATTCCCCAATTGATGGGCATCCCCTCAATTTCCAATTCTATGCCACCACAGAAAGAGCTGCTATAAATATTTTTGTACATGTGGGTCCTTTTCCCATTTGTATGATCTTTTTGGGATACAGCCCTAGAAGTGTTATTGCTGGGTCAAAGGACATGCACATTTTTATAGCCCTTTGGCCATAGTTCCAAATTACTCTCCAAAGCGGTTGGATCATTTTACAACTTCACCAACAGTGCATTAGTGTTCCAATTTTCTCACCTCTTCAATGTTTATCATTTTCCTGTTTTGTCATGTTGACCAATATGATAGGTGTGATGTGGAACCTCAGAGTTGTTTTGATTTGCATTTCTCCAATCAATAGTGATTTAGAACATTTTTTCATATGACTATAAATAGCTTTAATTTCTTCATTTGAGAACTGCCAGTTCATATCCTTTGACCATTTGTCTCCGACATCTTTTCCACAGCACATCAGCAGCCTGATCACCTGTGACAAATAAAAGAAGAACAGTAACTATTCTGTGCAAATCAACATAGTCCATCTGGCAATTATTTGGAACACATGGAACACCAAGTCCTTCCCTTGGAAATGACTACTGAGAATGATCAGGTAACATTCTCTGTTTAGCATAAATCCCAGGGAAGAATTTTAGTCCTTTCATTAGGCTTTTGAAAAACAGCATGGTATAGTGGAGTTAGGAAGATTTGACTTGGTTCATGTCATTAACAGTTGTGTGATCATGAACAAGACACCTAAACCCCCTATCCCTCAGTTTCCTCTTCTAAAAAATAAGACATTTGGACTCAGGTTGCCTTTTAGTTCCTTTCTGTTCTAAATTTTCATTATCATATGATTGTATGATCCTATGATTCCTTTTATTGCCACTTGAGGCCACTGCCCCATTTAACTAAAACCTCACTCCCAGGACCCAAGTGACATCTCAGGCCTTATAGTTTCAAAGCTAAGATCACAATTGTCTTATTCTCACTGGCTTTACATAATCCTTAAAACTTTGGGAATTTTCAGTTCTAAAATAGAGGTTTCACTGATGCCTATTCATATTTCTTTTTTAGGATAAACTCCAAGAGATGTTAAATGATTTATGGGAAAAAATAAATAAGACCGAAATTGTATTAGCTGAGGAGAAAGAGAAGTATACATGGAGTAAGGTAAGTGTCCTTCTGTTTTGGATTATACGAAAACAATCAAGGATGTATGAATACAACCCTGATTTGCAAGAAGTAGAATTTTCATGAAAGAAAATAGTATGGCTGGGCCAGGGATCAGGGCCCATGAATTTTCCCAGGTATGGGCAGTTAAGACTTACTAGGTGGCCCCCTAAAAAAATGGCCACAGATAAAAATGGTAATTACCTTTTTTGTTCTTTCTCTTATATGTCTTCTGTTGACAGGCAAATGTGCAGATTATGAAACAGGCTGTTGTAACAACATATAGAAGAATGCACCAGTTCTTGAGGAAGGAAGAACTGCATCACCTAGAAAGACTGGACAAGAAAGAAAGAAAAAACTTGGAAAAATTAAAGAAGATTGAGTTAAAACTGTCCCAACAAGTTCAAGACCTACAAAGAACAGCCATACAACTAGGAATGGATTTTAAGAAGCTAGATTTGAAAATGGTACTGGTAAGAGTTTTAAAGAACATTGTCATATTGTCACATCCATGAACCCGTAAATTTTGAATTACAGCCCTGTTGTGGTACTAATTCATAAGAACATAGAATCATACAGTTAGAAGCTAGAAGCAGCATACTCCAGCCACCATCACTTTACAAATATCAAAACTGATATCCAGAAAAGTGAAACTGATTTGTCCAGCTTCACACAGGGATTAACTGGTGGAGCTAAGATTTGAATCCAGTTCATCTGGTTCACCTTGCCTCTTGAGTTACACTCAAATACCATTTTGTTTCAAATGCATTTTTGTCTTCACAAAAAAGATTTAGCATTAATTTGCCTCCACCAGGCAACATTTGAAGGGCTGGCAACAATCTCAGATCCAGAGAAGAGGGCACAAATATTGTGGGCCTTAGAGACTGTTACATGGATGGGAACAAATACATATTGCCTACTATGTGCTAAGCACTGTGCAAAATGCATTACAAAAGTTATCTTATTCAAGTTGAAGAAACTGAAGTGTTTAAATGCAAATGAGAGAAAATTTAAAGAGAATATAATAGCTTTATTTGAGAACTTGAAGATATCATTTAGGGATTAGACATGTTTTGCCTGTTCCCCACACTAGACGTGAAAACCGATGGATAGAATAATGATAATGTTCTGCATGTTGTTGAAGGCTGACAGCCACACTGTAGTGTAAGTAAGACAGCTATTCCATTTTACAGATGACAGGACATAGACTGTGAGAAGTTATGACTCGCCTGTGGTCACAGAGGCAAATGTTAGCAGTAGGATTTGAATTCAGATTTTCTGTCTTCAAGTACATTCTTAAGTGTAATGTAGAATACTGTCATTCCGCAGAAATAGACTTCGGCCTTATATAAGGAAAAACAAAACAAAACTTGCCCTTATTTTCAAAGCTTTCCAAAAAAGAAATTGGGCTGCTTTTAGAAGTAGCAAGCTCCTGGGATAGGTCTTCCATTAGGGCCTGGATGACCATCTTTGTGGATGTTGTAAACATAATTTCCATATTAGGCACAGAATGGACAAGATAAAATTTAAAGATAAAATTTATGTAGCTCTTTAAGATTCTAGTTTTCTAATCAATAACAACAAAACAAAAAAACAACAAAACATGACAGCAAAGGGTGCTCACAAACCTCTAAGTTGTCTGTAAATGGATATCAGGGATTTGGATAAGGAAGGAAAAAAATCTTTATTTTGCTAACTTCTAACTGAACTGTAGCACTTCTTTCATTTATTTGAAAACGTTCTGGGAAGGGGTCTATAGACTTCATAAGTCTGCCAATGACAAACTTTAAGAAACCATGCTATAGAGTTAGAAAAGTAAAGTATAGTGGCTTGTTTGCTTCTTGGAGCTTATAAATGACAGTGGTTGAGCTCCTATGGCCACCATGACACTTATGTTCTTGTGAGGGAGCTCTAATTCAAGCTTTGGACTTCATTTAATTGCCAGTTAAATAAGATGAAGTCAGTCCTTTCTTTTGTTTTGATTTGTTTTTTTAAAATTTATTTTAGGTTTTTAACAATCATTTCCATAAGCTTTCGAGTTTTAAATTTTTCTCCCCTTCCCTCCTTACCTCCTTCCCTAAGACAGCGTGTAATCTGATATAGGCACCTATTAAACATTTTCACATTAGTCAAGTTGTAAGGAAGAATTAGGACCAATAGAAGGAACCACCAGAAAGAGTAAACAAAACAAAACAGAAGGAAAAAAATAGCAAATAGTATGCTTTGATATGCATTCAAACTCCATAGTTTGAATGTGGATAGCATTTTCCATCATGAGACTTGGAGATGTCTTAGAGCCTTGCATTGCTGAGAAGAGTTAAGTCTATCAAAGTTAGGCATCCCTTAATGTGGCTGTTACCGTGTATAATGTTCTCCTGGTTCTGCTCACTTCACTCAGCATCAGTCCATACAAGTCTTTCCAGGTTTTTCTGAAGTCTGCCTGTTCATGATTTCTTATGGCACAATAGTATTCCATTACATTCATTTACCATAACTTGTTCAGCCATTCCCCAATTGATGGGCATCCCCTCATTTGGGCCTCTTTAAATCCATGTCAACCTTAGGGAAGAAGCATTTCTATCATCCCATCCTCTACCACTCTAACTTCTTTACCTCATACCTTGATCGTTTAGAAACTAGTAGGTTGAGGGGAAAATGACTTTTTCCCCTCACATTGTGGTAATTTTCTTATGAGAGTACCCCTCAAGGAAGAACTAGAATGTGATTCTAAATAATCTGTGCTGGATTTAACTTTTTGTAATCAACGTACTTTATAAAAGTGTACTCTGGGAGAAGGTTTTGGGAAAAGGTTACTGGGATTTCTACAAAAGACACAAATAGATTAGGAAACAAATTTCAGAAAAACCTGGAAAGACTTACATGAACTGATGCTGAGTGAAATGAGCAGAACCAGGAGAACACTGTACACAGTAACAGCAACATTTGTATGATAACCAACTTTGATAGACTTAGTTCTTCTCAGCAATTCAATGATTTAAGACAATTCTAAAAGACTCATGAAAAATGCTATCCACATGCAGAGAAAGAACTATGGAGTCTGGATGCAGATCAAAGCATACTATTTTCTTTCTTCTTTTGTTTTTTTTGTTTCTCATGGTCTTTCCCTTTTGTTCTGATTCTTTCACAACATGACTAATGTGGAAATATGTTTAACATGATTGTACATGTATAGCCTATATCAGATTGCATGCCATCTTGGGGAGTGGGGCAGGATTTGGAACTCAAAATTTTATATAAGTGAATGCTGAAAATTAAAAATAAATAAGTAAACAAAAACAAACAAATGAACATAAATAAACCAAATAGACTGGGAAACAGAAAACTAAACCTTTGCTATTTTCCCCCCTTTTTAGGATGTGAAAGACATGTTGAATAAGTAAGTTTCCATTTTTTGCTAAGCTGTCCGAAGTAGTGACCTTGTATAAGAAGAAAAACAAATCTTGACCCTATTTGCGCAAAGCTTTTTGAAAATAGAATGGGTTTCTGGAAGGGGAGATCTTACATTAAAAGCTTGATGACCACCTTTCTGATATGCTATAGACATGTATAAATTAAGTATAGATTGGACTAGATAAAATTTGAGAGTGCTTCTAACTCTTTAAGATTATAGTTTTCTAATCCATAACACCTATGCACATGTAGGAGAAGTCTGTGTAGATGAAGGGGTCAGTTGGGAACTATTTAGTTGGAATGTACTGAAGTTTGTGCTCAGTGTTGAAGACTCATGCAAAACATGTAACTGAGTCTGCCCTCTTTGCAGAAGTGAAGTGCTGCTACTTCAATATCCACAAGATGATTTCCCCAAATGGACAATGTGCCATGTCACTGGACTGAGAGAAATGATGATGGCCTTCCAGAGTAAGTTTCCCCTTCTGGGCCTTGGTTGGTATTCTGGAAGACTCTGGAGTTTCTGTGATGTGTGGGATGGATGTGCTTTAGGCATGAAGAAATGAATCTTCAGGCAGTCTGCCCATTCAAATTGTTTACTTCTGTTCCTGGACACTGTTGATATGCTCATTTACACTTTGCATTTTTATAAATCACTGCTTCTGAGCCCCTAGGCAAGTCATTTGACCTCCATATGCTTCAGGGGACTTAGTTTCCCTACTAATTTTATAGTTACTAAGCATTTAACAATTATTTCATTGACTTGCATTGACAGAATCATAAATCCTTCATGTGTTTATGTATGTATCTTGAGCCACCAAGCTCACAAAAAGTGTATTGGGAGGAAAACAGTAGCTTTATAAGATGACTACTTACATTCCTTCTAATTTTTAAAAGGTGGTTAAATGACCTTGTCCCGTATAATAGCCTGGAATTCTGGTGCATTTCCTATATAATGAGAGGTCATTATAGTATTTTTGGCCCAATAATCTTAATAATGAAATATCTACATTCATAGTTGGGTTTTTTTGGTTTGTTTGTTTTTTATAATTCAATAATTTCATTATTAGGACAGTCAAAGCAAGGGAGGGAGATGTTGAAAGTCCATCAGAGAGCTCTTGGAGCCTTTGCCAGGTTAAGAGTGTTTGGGCTTAAAGTACATGAGAACATATTGGGCTTTCTATGAGTTCTTAGGTGACTCATGGGGCAAATTCTGAATGCTGAGACTGAAATCACTGAATTTAATTCATATAGACATTTATTAAGGCAGACTGTGGAGAGCAGTGTGTTCAGCACTTGGAGAGAGAAGGCCCATGCTCTCACAGTTTAAAATATGTTTAAGGTCTAGGCAGTCAAAAGTAATCATAATAGAAAATATATAATACAAAATAATACACAGATAAGTGTTAAATGTATGTTTCCAGGTGCCAAGGAGAGTGTTAATAAAGATCATAGATAAAGAGCTTTAGTGAAGGAAGTATTCTTGAGCTCAAAACGTAAACAAGATAATCACAACAAAAAATCATTGATGAACTCCAATATGTAAGATGAAAGTGGGTAGGTGTTATTTGTGAGAACAAACTCCCAAATCTGAAAAGGCTTTAGAAAGAAATTTATTAGGTCATTTGGTAAAGAGAGAGGGAGACTCCTTCTCCAAGTCTTCCTGGCTACATCAAAGAGTTCAGAAAAGGGCTTAAGGCCTTTTGCCTGATTGGCGTCAGCAGGCAGTATCTAGTCTCCCAGAGAAGGTTTGCAATGTATATCATCAGGTTAGTCTGTCTAATTCGGAGATCCAAAACACAAACTTTGAGTGGACCCAAAACAAGTACTAGGTAGAACCTAAGCATTCCTTACAACCCGGAACTGATCAAATCCAAAAGAAAAAAAAAACTTGTCATTTGAAATGAACATGGCAGATGTTCCTCCAGAAAAGGGGATCCACCTTGGAGGTGAAGTAGAACTGGAGAAGGCCCCAGAGTTAAGGAGAAAAATCTCTGGTATTCTTTCTACACTATCTACCCCAAAGCCAGGAAATAACAAGGGGAAAAACATGGGTTAGCTGCAGCCCCTCAAGAACTGCTTTAATAAGGCGTTACATGAATTTCAGACAAATACATGAAATTTTACGTTTTTTACAGATCATGGGGGAAACAGGAGAAGCTGGGATATTCGGTAGAGGAGAGGAAATTAGCCTGGACCAGGAGAACAATACTTCCTGAGTCTAGAGAACAGATGATGAAATACTCAGATTCAAACATTATAGTTGTGTAGAGCTGTAAAATAGGTACCTTTTCTAAAAGGTTCAAATTAAATTAAATATTAAATTGGTGGCTCCCTTGGTGTCTTTATTTTTAGTTTTTTGCCTTCCTTTGTATTCTGAGTACTTAGCAACAAAGTTTTGGGCACTAATAGAGAGGATCAAACAAATGCTAGCTGGCTGCCTGTATTTTGGATAGAAATAGACCAAGTTGCTAATATGCCAAAATAACTTCATCTCTCTGCAGGAGATATAACACTGGATCCTGAAACAGCCAATCCCTACCTCATTGTATCTCCTGATCTGAAGAGTGTGAAACACTCATGTGTTCCCCAGAATGTACCTGACCACCCAAAGAGATTTACCTATTCTGCCACTGTGTTGAGTGCTCAGAGTTTCATCTCAGGTATACACTATTGGGAAGTGGAGGTGGCCGGCATGACTGAATGGGAAGTGGGGATCTGTAAGGACTCCATTAACAGGAAGGGGAACCCCCCATTGTTGTCTGGAGAACTAATTGCCCTGAAAACTTTCAAAGTTGGAGATAGCTTCTGCCTTGCAAACTCACAAATTGAGGGTAGCTTTCATATAAAGAAACCCCTGCAAAAGATTGGCATTTTCCTTGATTATGAAAGTGGACATATATCATTTTACAATGTTACAGATGGGTTGCTTATCTACGGTATATCAGCTGTTGCCTTTCAAGGACCTCTTCGGTCCTTCTTCTCTCCTTGCTTTCAAAATGAAGATAACACCTCCAAATCTCTTGTTATTTGCCCATGTATCCCCAATTATTAGCAAGTTCATTTACCTAAGCCTTCAGGCCTAAGACTGACGAAGAGTTGATAATGATAATAATTGTCCAAGAGACTCAATTACAGGTGACCGCAAACAAGTGGTAAAATGGTTCTTTCCACAAATTGGAATCTACGTCGGACTGATCAGTAATGTCAGACCATATGCAAACTCTGCTTCAAAGTCCAATTGCTTCAGCCTCACATAGTATTGGCAACCAGCTTCACTCAGTGAAACCAGCCCCTCCCTCCCCAAGGGACTCACAGGGGTGGGAAATCTGTGGCTTCAAGGCCACATGGGGTCCTCTGGGTCCTCTGACCGAATCCAAACTCAGTGGAACAAATCCACTTAATGAAAGGACTTGTTCTGTAAATTTGGACTCAGCCAAAAGATTGCACCCAAAGACCCAGAAGGCCACCCGTGCCCTCCAAGCTGCAGGCTCTCCACCCCCGGACCACGTACTTTACACACATCTCAGAATCTTGGCTGCTCAGGTAGGGCACTGATCGAGAGCTAGAGTCCCTTTGCTGAGTTCAATTTGATCTATCTTATCAGGAGATAAGGTATCTTTTCAGGCCTTTATGTAGAAGTTTTGTTAGGAGTGGAGGAGCTAAGTTCTCTAATCAACTTGGTCTTTATTTGACTGTATTTCCCTATAGGACATGGGTTCTGAACCTGGTGTCTGTAAACTTTTGTTTTTAATATTTTGATAAATTTTAATGCATTTCATTTTCTTATAATTCTATGCATTTTATTTTGTGCATGTTAACCCTGAGAAAGGGTTGATAAGTTCTATTAGACTAAGCGGGTCCATTACACAGAAAGCTTTAAAAGCCTTGCTAAGGAGAATGGGGTGATTCAGTGACTGGGGGTTTGACTCTTAGGAAGATGGACACACGTCAAAAAAATCCTCCAACTCTGCTGGCTTGTAAAAGAGTGAAGCCCTTGAAGCCCCTCTGTGTTTTCCCCTTTGACGGCTGACAAACCTACCCTTTGAGGCCTTAGATTTCTCCTGGGATGAAGCACACTTTGGGGGTTTATCCATAGAAAATCTTCCCATTGTACCTCTAAAAAAAATCTGTAAAGCAAGTTGTATTGTGTGGGTGTGCAATCTATTTGATATACTAAGATGTACCTCATTTTGCTTTTTATGGGAGTGTTTGATCAGTTGCTATATCTAATAAAGGTATATTAATGGCTTGACTATGTTTCAATCAAACCTATACCACATAACACATGCTATTTTGAACATTAGAATTTATGATTTATTGATTTAAAAAAAATTTTTTTTACGTCATCATAGTTATCCCTATTTTAAAGGGGAAAAAATGCTGCTATGCATATTGTGTACAGGAGACCCTATCAATGGCTTTCTTGGGGTATAAGCTCCATATATAATGGAGTCTCTTATTTAAAGGGAATGAATATTTCAGTCACTTCATTTGCACAATTCCAAATTGCTTTCCAAAATGGATATACTATTTCACAGCCCCCCAACAATGTATTAGTGTACCTATCATTCCACAACCCTGCCAACCCTGACTGTTAATTTTTTGTTTTTTTTTTTTTTGGCTAGGCAATGGGGTTAAGTGACTTGCCCAGGATCACACAGCTAGTAAGTATTATGTGTCTGAGGCCAAATTTGAACTCAGGTCCTCCTGAATCCAGGGCCAGCACTCTATCCACTGCACCACCTAGCTGCCCCAATTTTTTTGTCATCCTTGCCAATTTTTAGGATAGGAGGTGAAAAATCAAGCTTGTTTTGATGTTCATTTCCCTTATTAGTGATTTGGAGCATTCTTTCATGTGGTTATGAATATTGCAATTCTTTTGAGAATTTGTTTATATCCTTTGACTTATTTATTGGGAAATGGCTTTTAGTCGTGTGTGTGTGTGTGTGTGTGTGTGTGTGTGTGTGTGTGTGCGCGCACATGTGCACGAGCAAAATCTTAGATACCAAACCCTTATTAAAGAAATTTGATGCCAAGAATTTTCCCTCATTCAATTGCTTCCTTTCTCATCCTTGGTGTTGTATCCTAGGTACGTAAATTTCATCTGTGTACAAGTGTTTTAGTTTTATGTAACTAAAAGTATTTATTTTCTCTTTTGTGATGACCTCTATCTTTTCTTCTTTTTTTCTCATTGTTTAACACTATAATCTTTCATTTTAATGTTGTGTTTTCCTTCAGAATTGTATTGTGGAATATGGTATAAGATGCTTTATTGATTTTCAAGTATTTTATCCATTTTTTTTGTGGTTCTATTGTAGCTTGAGGTGGGGCACTATCTGTCTTTGGAAGGCACAAGATATAAAAACTGGCTGATCTTTAGAGTAATAGTGATAATTAATATAATTTGGGAAATTGAACTGCTCAAGGAAGCTTCACTACAAAAAGGAAGTTCCTAGCTGGTGGAGAAATTGGAATACCTCCACTGCAGGCTGCTTAGAAGCGGATCAGGAACAAAGCCGGTGAAGACATTCTTGTCACTAGCAACAGATTTAGAGGTAATACTGCTAACACCCAGCACTTGTATGGCTTTAAGGTTTGCAAAAGACTTTACAAATAGTAACTTTTCTCCCTACACAATTCTGAGAGATAGGTGCTATTACTTCATTATCTATGGAACTTTTTAGAAAAATGTAGTTTCCCTGATCATCTCTTCATTAGATCTATTTTTGCTTTTGCTTTGTCCAAGATTATGATTGCTACCCCTGCTTTTTTATGTCAGCTGAAGCATAATCAGTATGCTCTAGCCCTTTATTTTAACTCAAGTCTTCTGTCTCTTGTGTATATATAAATATAACATTATTAGATTCTGGTTTCCAATCCATTCTGCTATCCTCTTCTGTTTTATTTGTTATTTATTCCATTCGTGGTCACAGTTATAATTAGTGTATTCCCCTCGATCCTATTTTCTTCTGTTTCTCCTCTCTCTTTATCCTGTCCCTCCTCAAAAGTTTATTTTGCTTCCTTAACCTGCCCTCCCATTTATTTTCTTCCCTTTATCTCTTTTGTCCTTCCTCTCATTTCCCTATTAGATAAAATACATTTCTTTACCCAAAGGAGTGTGTATATATAATCTTCCCTTTTTGAACCAATTCTGTTGACAGTGAGATTCAAACATTGCTCCACCCCCACCTCATTTTCCTCTCCACTGATAGGTGCTATATAAATGCCTATTTCCTTCTTCTCCCCATCCTCTGGAAGCATGTAACATGATTTGTATCTGAAAAATAAGTTTTTAAGTTGTGCTAAATTATTTGTATTTTTGAGGAAATCATATGTAACATTCACAAGCAGTAGTGACAACCTCATTTATTAAAAGTATATTAATACACAGTAACAGCCACGTTGTGCGATGACAAATATTGATAGACTTAACCCTTCTCAGCAATGTAAGGATCTAAGACACTCACTGAGTAGAAATAAGTGTTCTCTCTCTTGAGTATGTACTCCTTCTCTCATGCTTTAGGAATGGAGATATGTATACTGTCATGACCACTTCTGCCTACCTAGGACAATAAATACGTTTCCCTATCCACAAGGCAGGGATCTTTGCTAAACTGTGATGAAGGGGCTATTTCAATTTTATGATGCTTTGCAGAAATGCTTTATATATTGGTTCCCCAACTTCCCCTTTTCTGGTTCTCTTAGACCCATTTTTTCTCCTTGTACTGTAATAGAGGGTAAGAATTATGGAATTCCAATGACTGTCAGGCTTTGAAATATTTATACCTGAAAAAGCTTTTATTCCAAGATTTGTCCCAGATCCCACCTAAAGGACATAGCTACAAGTTTAATATAGGTCTAGCCTGATCTAAGTACCGTATGTGATATTTCATTTCAAAACATTTCTACTGAGTGATTAGATTTCTGGAGATCAGAAATCCATTATTCAGAGTCAATACTGATTTAGCAAAGGAGCCTTTTTAGAAAAACAACTATCCTATAAAATAAGCACTGCATGAGTACTCAATAGGACTTGTTCAAAATCTGGTGAGATAGTTTTTTCACTGCAGAAATAAATATAGTTATACTTCCACTTACTACTTCTTAGGGTGAGTATTAGACTCAAAGGAGACAATGTATTAAAAGTGCTTTGTCAATGTAACACTTAATATATGTCTGATGTTAAATAATTGTTATTTTTACAGCAAATTTATGAACTTTCATAGAGACATAACCATCCTTTCTAGCTCATTAAAAGTTGAAAATGAAAAATGATTCCTTTTGGCATTTATCTCAGCTCATGGCTAGGATATGGGTAAAGGGATGTAGAGACTTGAGGTTCCAGTGGAGGCCCATTCTTATTTAGATGTATGATGAGATAAGTAAGAGTTGTTTTATTTGATGATGGATAAGCATTGTACCGACATTTTGCTTTTCAGGAGAGCCATGTGGAACATTGCCACATTGTTAGGACTGAACCCAGATTGTACTCAGGGAGAAGCATAGGCCTACTCAGAGTGTGGGCCTGAAAATTCAGGCACGCAGTGGGACAACCAGTACCATTGGTCCTTTATACTTTCCTTTGATGTCACCAACTCATTTCCTCAAGAAAAGAATAAATGGCAAATTGTGCCTAAGCCATCTTGGCACCCGGGTCCAAGCTTTATGGGGCTCTATTATAAGAGAATTCCTGTAAGTCATCTTTTAAAAGGTTGAGTCATTGAGTTTGAACAGGTCTAGATGTCTTATCCCATTTGAAAACTCTGGGGGGTTTATCTTAATTAGTAGTTTTGATGTCATGGACCCCCCATTTGGTGGTTTAGTGAACACTGTGTAGTCAGGAGGACCTTGAGTTCAAATCCAGATTCAGACATGTACTGGATGTGTGACCCTGGGTATGTCACTTAACCCTGTTTGCCCATTTCCTCATCTGCAAAATGATCTGGAGAGGGAAATTGCAAAGCACTCCAGTATCTTTCCCAAGAAAACCCCAATAGCATCACAGAGAGTCAGACATGACTGAACACAACAAAAA